TGGTTTGTTTCCTTTGGTAAAAGCGTTTTCTAGTTTATGTGACGTAGCAATATTTGTTGCTTGAATTGCTCTATAGTTTCACTAGTGGATATTTATCTTCTTGAACTGTAGCCTTGTGTCTCACTTTGGGAGTATGCAGAGGCTTTATACTTTACCTTCTACACTTTTATCAAAACAGGGTATATGAACAAATTTTCTATAAAAGGAATTCTTAAATGTGAATTTGTTCGTACATGATTGATCCCACGGGGAAGCAATTTTTTTTATTGCACTTCTTTTAAATAGCAAGAAAGACATCACAAGCGCTTGGACAGGGCCTCCCTGGACAGTTATTGATACGTGTAAGTCTTTCAATGTGTGTATGCTGGTGAACATTCAGATTTATTTATATTTTTTTTTTTTACAAACATTGAATAATCTAAGTGTTTAAAATTTTATTTATCCCCATTTGTTCATATTTATATATATATAAAAAATCTGTACCCTGAATATTCAGGCGGTATTTACCTGGCCATATGTTAGATGGCATATCGGCACGTGTTGGAAATATCATTTGAAAGGAAACTAGTAACTCCTTTTATTAAAAATGGTGATAACGATGACGATGCAATAAAATCTGGGAAAAAAGATCACGGTTTGAATACTTTATGCTTGTAACATCCAGCTAGGCGAAAAGCGTGTGAAACTGAAAAGGCTAGATTTGTTTTGAAAGTTATACATTCCTTGCTGCTCACGTTCTAGAAGAAAAAAAATAAAGTTTTTATTCTGAATAAGAAAGAGTTAAGAACATATTCTTCCCAGTGCAGGGGAAGGGAGAGCCCTTCATGACGTGGGGAGATAGGAAACTCGCCTGTAAGCTCACACGAGGATCTGATCGCCCACCCGAAGGGCCCCGCGACGCCTTTACAGCATTTCATAGGCAGGGAGAGAGAGTTTTCGTTCCCTCTCCCTTTTCTCTATGTGTCTCTCTCTCTGTTTTTTTTTTTTTTCCTTTCGTCCAGCGGGGTTTCAGGGCCTGCGGCTGCTGCCTCCTCCCGCACCCGCTGCGCGGTGCCCGCCCGGCGCGGAGGGCAGGAGGGTGCGGATCGCCCCCTCCCCGCGGGGTCTGGGGGGCCACCGGCGGCGGAGCAGCACTCGGAGGCCAGCGGGGCTGTGTGCTTGTGTGTGTGTGTGTACAAGGGTGTGGGTGAAGCACATGGGAGCAGAGCTCGGGATAAAGCTTCGCGTGGGTGCTGGCGCGGAGGGGCCGCCTGGACCCTGGGCTGGCCCGCTGTGGAAAGAGGGGAGCCGGGAGCCGGGGCTCCAGAGCCCCGCCAGCGCTGGGGAGCAGTGATGGTAGAGCAGGGTCCAGCCTAACCGCGAATGCGGCTGAGGCGTGGATGTGCCCTCTGCTCCTCCTTCCAACCGCCATCCCCGTCGTCGTTTTTTCCTGTAAGACGTGGATTTTTCCTTTTCCTTTTTTTTTAAATAATTAATATTTTTATTGTTTTATTTGGGGCTTGTTTCATTCTTGCTGAGCCGTCTTTCCTCCCACCGCAGCCTGAAGCTGTGGGGGAGGGGAACCTTGTGTTCCCTTTCTTCCCTCGTGGGAGTGTGGATGTGTGTGCGTGTGTGTGTATCGCAGGAGGGGGACACGGTACTGTAGAATGGCGACTGTCCCGGCCCCAAACGGGCACCCGTAGGGGTCTCCAGTCCAAATCGTCTCGAGGTAGAAGGGAGAAACCCGCAAGCTTGTGTTTAAATCTGATTTTTCTTCCTTTCAGGAGAAATGTCCATAATTTTCAGATTGAAACTTGAAAGATAAATCAAAATGGACCTTAATAAAATAGGTAAAATATACCCCTGCACGTTTATAAAGACATATTCCAATGCTGTGTAGATAATAATGTGCGCTGTTCACCATCTGTATCTTTTAGAGCACAGAAAAAAAATGTCGCCATTTTGGTCTCATACTGAAATATTATTAATCTTTGGGCTTTATCTTGTTCCCAGAACCATCCTTGCCTGATGCTGAAACATTGTCATGCATCCGTGAATCTATACAGAGCTTTTCTGCATAAATAGATAAAGCGTGCTCAGTCAAAGAAAAGAACAGCAAATAGATTTATACCGTGCTGTTTATTGTAAATGTAGACATGTAACCATGGAAGGAAAGGCTACGTAGGCTGATATTTTTCATTGAAAACTGATTACTACCCAATGCAGACCAACGACTGATTATTATTTTTGTAGGTGAAGGAAGGATTTTTGCCACATTGCAAGACATTGCTCATTTCAAAGGAGCGCCCGTATAAAATTCAAGCCACCACCCCCCCTCCCCCTCGGATCAGTTAGGTTAGATACAACAAAAGGTAACGGTACAGTCACGATACTTACTGCGTGGTTCCTTTAGCACCACGAGTTACATTAAGGAAAATGCTCAAAAAGAAGGAATTTGGCGTTTCACTCCCCTCCTACCCGAAGAAAGAAAAATACAGGCGTTTTGTCCCCTTCTTTCCATGCCCAGTATTAAATCAGTTCTTCGGACTCTGTAGGTTGCACATAAGAATTTGTAATTTTGCATTTAAGAGTCACCCGATTAAAAGATCCCCCTGGAGGCAGCAGTAATTGATTTCCCCAAGAATTTTGCGTCCTCTCTCCAAAGGTTTTGTTCCAGGTGGTTTTTGTATTAGACTAACCACAAGAAACAAATGTGCAGAATAGAGACACCCACACAGGTTTTACTCACAAAGCCTGGTTAAAGTCCAAACCTCTCTCTTTATTATTTGTCATCCTGCTGTTAATCCCAATATTTTCCAGAGGGGAAAAAAAAAATAAAGAAAAGAAAAAGAAAAGCCCGACCCCAGCGTAGGCACCAAGAAGCAAAATAAAACTGGACTTTCCCCAGCAGCTCAGTCCTCTGCCAGCATATTTTAAAAGCAGCTTTTTGCCTTGTTTACTTGCGTTTCTTGCTCTGCCTCTTTTCTCGGCCACATTTGATCTTGGAAAGACCAAGAAGCTTTAAATGTGTTCTTAAGGGCCAGTAAGCTGTCAAACCTTTTGGCGGCCAAGATTGATCGCGCACAGACACCACCAGAGCTTTGTTTGGACTAAAAGCAAGAAAATTAAACCCCTTGCATTTTCCAACAGCATCGATATTTGTAAGTCATCCCTTTTGAGGGATTAAATGACAAGTCTCGTTCTATATTTTATTTAAACAAGCAACCACCAAAAAGCCCATTTAAAGCCTCCCGGCCCCTCCCCTCCCCCTCTCTCCAATGCCTTCGCAGATATGCTACATCTTGTGGGTGCATTAACTTAAAACCGATTTTTTTAAAATGCACTTCGTGCAGACTGGACGCAGACTGAACCGCTGAGTGCTTGGGGTCTTGTTTTCTTGTTTTATATTCCCCCCCCCCTTTTTTTTTTTTTTTTTTTTTTTTTTTTTTAAGTAATTACGAAGACGGTTGCCGACCCGTTTGGCAACTCCGAAAATAAAGCGAGACGGCACCTCATTGCGCTGGCTATCGTTCCTGGCTCCTGGAGGACGCGGAGAACGACTCGGTAGCGACTTCCCCTCGGCCCCCGGCGCACCCCACCCTGCTGGGCACTCTGGGCTCCGCGGGAAAGCAAGTCCCGTCCAGGCTGCCCAGGGCGGCTGTGACCATAGGATTCAGCGGGCTGGTGACTGTGGCCATCATTGTCATCGCTTTTCCTCTCGCTTCGGTCTGGTTGGAAAACTGTGCCCAAAGCATCCAAATTCGGGACTTGCTTCGACCTGGCAGGGGCGACTGGAGACGGCGGCGGCGAGAGCCAAGCGTCGGAGGCGAGTGCCGTGTCTCAAGTCATAACCCCGCAGCATTTTCACCCTGCCTGGCCCCGTGAAAACAAACCCGCTACCAGCCCATGTATTTCCTGGTAATCGAAAATACTCACCAGACCCAGCCTACTACGGTTATTAAGCAAATTATGCCAGCAGAAGGGAGTATCGTTTGCAAGCTAAGGCACGGGATACATATTTTTTTTTAAGAGGCAACAACCAGACACGTTTGCAGCCTCGCCATTTGGCTCACCCAGAGAGGTTCTCCTAGGGTTATGTTTTACGGTCCAATCCCAGGAAACCAACTGGGGAGGGAAGTCATGAAGCACCGGGGCTGCTGCCTATGTGACTCTTCCCCTAGAAGCAGGGTTGTTGAGGAAGATCCTGATAAACACTGGCTCAGCACCGGCGACGAATTGTTCTCTGTACTGCACCGCCGTTAGCCACCAAAAAAAGAAAAAGAAATTAAAAAAGAAGGAAAAAAGGGGGGAGGGGGAGAAAGGGGAAAAAAAGAATCAAGAAAACAACACGAAAAAGAAAGGAAAAAAAAAAAAAGATAAAAAGGAGCCCATAGAGGCTGAGTGAGGAAGGAGAACGGGAAGGAGAAACTAGTTTTGGAGGAAGTGCTATTCCTAGGAAAAAATCAGGACCTCTGCTTCAGACTCCTGCCTGGGTATAACTTCTTATGCGGGGGCCTGACGGTGTCAAAACTTTAAAGATTAATGGATTACTTTGTTAATGACTCAAGGCGTCAGATTGAGGTGCTTAAATGATTTGTGAGGTGCAAAGCATTTTCCTGACAGTCCCAAACAATGAGAGAAGAGAGTGCGGGTGGATGCGAGGGAGGCTGCAGGACAAGCAGCCACACACACACACACACACACACACACACACACACTTGCGCGCACACACACTCGCAGCCTCTCACACAAACATATCCACGCACACGCACCCTCCCCCCATCCCCGATCACTTCAGATTAGGACACCAAGGGGATAGATACTCGACATATCATTTCCCTCTTTAAAAAAAGTGTAAATAAAGCCTTTCTGGCCCCCAATGAGGCGTTCCTTCCCGACTTTTTTGGATCAATCAAACAGACAGTGGCTTCTTTTGATTAAAGCCCAAATTGTCATTGGGCAGAGGCAATCATGTGACAGCCAATTCGGTCCAATTTCAACCTTGTCTCCATGAATTCAATAGTTTAATAGTAGCACGGTCCCCATACGGCTGTAATCAGTGAATTAGAAAAAAAACACCCCACCAGCGATCTTCTATGCTATATTTTTTATTCTCTCTCTTTTTCTTGGGCCTTCCCCCCCCGAGCCCCCTGAATCCGAGGGAACTTTTTCTCCGCGGGGGCTGCCAGTTGAAGGCCATGAATTTCGCATTTGAGCGAGAGATCGGTTTTATCAATAGCCAGCCATCGCTTGCTGAGTGCCTGACATCTTTTCCCCCTGTCGGTGATACATTTCAAAGTTCATCAATCAAGAACTCGACGCTTTCACACTCGACACTGATTCCTCCTCCTTTCGAGCAGACCATCCCCAGCCTGAACCCCGGCAGCCACCCTCGCCACAGCGGCGGCGGTCGCCCCAAGGCGAGCCCCCGCGGCCGCAGCGGCAGCCCGGGCCCCGCCGGCGCCCCACCGCCCCCGGAGTACCCCTGGATGAAAGAGAAAAAGGCGTCCAAGCGATCCGCACTGCCGCCCGCCTCGGCCTCCGCCTCAGCCGCTGGACCTGCCTGCCTCAGCCACAAAGGTCAGTCCAAAGACGTGCCGCCGGCCCCGCCGGGCCGCTTTTTCGGCTCCCCGCATCTCCCCGGCTTCGAGGGGGGACGAGGAAGAGGGCGGGCGGGCGGGAAGGACGGAGCTGGCGGTGATCGCTGGAAATCCAAACTTTCCCCAAACTTGCTTAATGCGGGATGATTTATTTGAGTTGGAGCTGACCTCTCTTGTCTCGCCGTCCTAGAGTTAGGATATTTGACAGTAATGAAGAGTGATAGATTGCTCCCGCTCAGCTAAGCAGCTGATGCATTAATTATAAATTGCGGTATGGCTAATATAAAGTTTGCTCTGGTGTGGGGAGGTTGGGGAGCTGGAGGCAGCGATTTGGCAGAGGTGGCCGAGGGGCACGCAGCACAGGGCGCTCAGCAGTGTAACACAATGGGTTTACTGCATCCAAAGGCGGCCATTTTGTTGCAGTTGCTATTTTATGCTATATGGACATATAGATATAGACACATACATGCAGAGAGAGCACTCCCTCCCACCCCCCCGGGGATGCGATGTGCTCGGGTGCTGAAATTCAAGCCGTGCATTTATCTGTTTTGTGTGTGCGTCCGTGTGTTTTGCCTTTTGCTGTTCTGGCGGTGATGTTTTGGGGTGCGTGTGGTGGTGGTGTTTTTCTTTTTTTTTTTTTTTTTTTTTTTTTAACAGACCCCCTTGAAATCCCCGATAGCGGTAGCGGTGGATCCAGGCGCCTGAGGACGGCTTACACCAACACTCAGCTTTTGGAGCTAGAGAAAGAATTTCATTTCAACAAGTATCTCTGTAGACCAAGGAGGGTTGAGATTGCAGCCTTGCTGGATCTGACTGAGAGACAAGTCAAAGTCTGGTTCCAGAACAGGAGGATGAAGCACAAGAGACAAACCCAGTGCAAGGAGAACCAAAACGGCGAGGGGAAATTTAAGAGCCTGGAGGACCCCGAAAAAGCGGTGGAAGAGGAGGAGGAGGAAGAGGAGAAATCCCTCTTCGAGCAAGCCCTTAGCAACGTCTCCGGCGCTCTCTTGGAGCGGGAAGGCTACGCTTTCCAGCAGAATGCCCTCTCCCAGCAGCAGGCGCAGAATGCGCACAATGGCGAATCCCAAACTTTCCCCGTTTCGCCTTTAACGAGCAATGAGAAAAATCTGAAACATTTTCAACATCAGTCACCCACTGTTCAAAACTGCCTCTCAACAATGGCCCAGAACTGTGCAGCTGGCCTGAACAATGACAGTCCTGAGGCCCTAGATGTCCCTTCTTTACAGGACTTTAACGTTTTCTCCACAGATTCCTGCCTACAGCTTTCAGATGCAGTTTCCCCCAGTTTACCAGGATCTCTGGACAGTCCCGTAGATATTTCTGCTGACAGTTTCGACTTTTTTACAGACACACTCACCACAATTGACTTGCAGCATCTGAATTACTGACAAATTAAAGACGTCCTCTCCAAGGGTCCTGCTTTCTCTTCATTATTCTTTTTTTCCCTCCAGTGAATTAATTTTATTTTTTCCCCTCCCTTTCCCTCATCAGTATTTTCTGTTTGTTACTTCCCTCTGCTATGCCATTTTTGCCGTTTCTTATGAAGTTTTAGTTGTGTTCAATTTTAACCTAACCACATTCTAGGTCCTTCTATGAAAGCAATATATGAGGTCTGTAAGAAAGTGATCATATAGGAATGTATCTTCACTTTCTTTTTATTTTTGTATTGCATTAGGATGCGTTGTCATAAGTATTTTTGGTAGAATAAATTCTTGTTTGCTACAAGGAGCTCTCTCTTTTTTCTTTCTCTTACTCCTCTCTTTCTCTCTTCTTTCAAGACTGATAACATGATGGGTATCTCTCCCCATCCCTTCCACTATTAATTTACTAATAATCAAAACCCAACGTTCTTCCCTTTTGGCAAATTAGGACGTTTAATAGAGAGGAAAAGCACGTTCAAATTCTTTATTGCAAGGATTATCACAAAGAAAAAAAACAAACCAAAAGAAATTAAAATCGGTCACAGGTTTGATGGAGATTTGATCCTTTTAATGGATAAACGTAGCATCTTATCTCTGTGAGGATGCAAAGCTTGGAAAAGCGAGCTATAACAAAAGCGTGAACGAGTACTTTCTCTGTTACAGGCAGAACATAAGAGAGACTCGGTAGGATAAGCATCTCCTGCAAAAACTAGCCAGTCACATGAACGAATGGAAAGGCTCCTTAAAGAGAAAATAATCCTGTTTTTCTAGAAAGTAGTGCTTAGCAGCCTGCAAGATTTTTCAGGAAGCATATCACAAAAAATTTCAGAGCTCACAGAGAATGCGCCTGGTTACTTCTCACATGCTGAGCAGTCCAAGAAATCAGCTCTAGGAGGAGAGGAAATGGAGAAGTTAGTGCCTGTGGAATCAAAAGGGTGGCAGAAAGATAGGGGGAAGAAAAAGCATTTAGGTAGGAACGAGCCTCTCCACTCCATCATTTGAGGGGCGGTGTGGGGGCAGAACCGAAGATATTTTTCTGTTTAAACCTTGTGAGGTGAAGAACTGATAATGCAAAGGGAAAAGTCTATGACTTTAAAGTTACAATTTCCCCGGTCTCCCCGCTATTCTGCTGGCGGCAGTAAAGACGGGCTTTCGGAAATCTCAGCCGAGTTGCCTGCCACCCCTCTAGCAGCGTTGCCGGAGACCCCAAGGCGGAGGGTGAGCCCCGTCCTTCGGGCTAAAACCGAGCAACAGATGCCGGCGGGGCTCTGCCGCTCGGGGGTTGGGGGATCCGGGGAGGGTGCGTTCGCGGCTCCTTGCGTGCATATGAGTGCGTGTGGTTACATTACACAGGCGAGTGGGGCTCGAGTGGGGGTTTGTGAACGGAGCTCTGCTGTCCTTCCATGCGAGGAGTGTTGTCTCCCAGCCCTGCAACACACTGTGAAGCTGGGATGCGTGGATTATAGCTGTAAGGGCTGAAGGCAATTCTTCCGAAAGTCATAAATCAAACTCTTTCTATGAATGAGAATGTCATCAAAGAGATCAATTGCAGGAACACATGCACAAATAAAAATCCTCTTACGTATTTGCCGGGGCTGGGGATCCCCGTCTAAAACTATTAAGTGAGAAGGCGTTTAGTCATAATTCACTTTTATTGCCCTTTTAAAACAACAGCTTGGCTGAGCTACGGGCGGGCGCCGTGAAACCTCGGTCCTGGTTCTTCTTCTTCTCTCTGCTCCAGCCTTGTCCCTGCGGAAAGCGATCAGTCTCACCGGCATTTTAACTCTTTTGCCACTGGGTTAAATTGGATCGCAACGTACATATAAGGGTTTCTTTTGTACCCGGATTTCCAGATGCTGACAACGCTTTAACCAACCCAAATCAAACCAACAGCAACAAAAGAAAATGTGCTACAAGGTTTAAATTTCTCACAAACTGCATTTAAATAAATGGGGGAATTCAGCGAGCAGGAGCCGCCTAGGAGTCCCCTGGTGAGCCCTGGGGCCACAGGGAGGGCACACTCCCACGGAAAAGCCTTAAGTGGCGGGATCGCCCCCTCGGCCCCCGTCCCCTGGCAGGAAACGCGGAGTGAAGTCGTGGAGGGAAACGGAGGGGTCGGGCTGGTCCACAGGCAGGGGAAGAGATAGTAGCTCCATCTCGCCGGGCCACGGAGGAGGGAAAGTGTGGTGTGTGTTCCCCTTCTGTTCCCCACCCCCCCCTTCTTATGATGTTGCCCCTACACTTAGTAACAGGCAGCAAACCCCCAAAGCTCCGCCAGAGAGACAAAGCAACAAGACACAATGGCACGAAAAAGGGACAGAAAAAAGGATTTCAGGATGCTGGGGACTGTAAGCAAATTGCTGTGATTCATCGAAATTCCTGGGTAAAACGGATCTCTTTATAGTAAAATATTTTTTTCTTGGCTGACTGAAAAGATGTCAGCCCTTTCATTAGTAAACAGTCCTAATCGTCTGCCTTTTTTCTCTGCCTTATGCTGTATTTAAAACAAGTGGTTTACAAGAATTAAATAAATGTGTTTACATCTGTAACCCTAGCCAACACTGGTGCAGAATAACACCATAGACGCCTCTGGAGTGTTACTGCTCTTGTCCTCCACCCTGGCTCCCTGCAGTTTAAGAAACTGAACCTTTCCAGAGGGCCCTTAGTATCCCTGCTTTTGTAGTAAATCAGAACAAATAGACGTATGAGGGCACCGGATTGTATGAGTGGTGGATAGAGCAATCCTTCGGTTTTAGTTGACAGTAGAGAGGCCATGGAGATGGCATGGGATGAGGGCTGACATAATAGCAGTAGGAGAGCTTTGCAACTAGGAGAGAATGTTGTAGTTCATGTGAGAGGGAGGAGCTTGAGGGTGAGTATGTGGGGGTGTGTGTGTTCGTGAGCAAGGAGAAGTGGCAGGGTGGAAGAAGCTTTTGGATTTCAAAACAAGCAAGAACTGAGCGTGAGAACAGAGGGACGTAAGAGTCGGCACCTGCAGAAACAGAGGGGGCAGCCCGTCCTGGTGCTGGTGGCAACCATCCGTCTTTTTCCAAGGTTAACGTTTTGCATGATGTCTTTTGAAGACTTTCGCTGCCGTCCTTTCTGCCTGCAGATGACTGGGTGCACCGGGACGGACGAATGCCAGGCCTTTGCCTCCCCTTTAATTTTTCCACCGCCCCCCCCTTCCTTCTCTGGCCACGGACCCATTTTTTTACCCACCTCCCCATGGAGTTGGGAAGGGGTGGGTTTAAGTCGATGCTCAGCCCTGTTCCCAAGGGTCCTGGGGCCGCCTCTGCCACTGGCCATCTGCCACCTCTCACCACCGCCGACCCGGGTGGAGGAGCGGAGGAACAAAAGGGCCGGGGCGGCGGGCCCTGCGCCTCCCGCCTCTCCTCTGCCCCTGCCCCGGGCCACCTCCTCGGGCTGCGACCCGCGGCACCCCGGACAGCCGTCCCCACGCTCGGTCCCAGGGCGGGCGGGCGGGCGGCTGGGGCGCCGCGGGAACCCAGCAGATGGGCTGCGGAGCCCGCGGGCCCCCGCCCATTCATTCGTCCCCCTGCCCCCGACTCCTCCTTCCCTACCCCAGCCTCGGGCTGGCGTGGGTGAGCCCGGCGGACGTGCGGGGGGAGCAGGGTTGAGGGACAGGGGATGGTCGGTGAGTTTGGGAGAGCATAATGGCCGTCAGTCCCAAAAGAGGCTCATTTCCATACTAATGTCCACGGCCGCCTCGTGATGCAGCTGGACAAGCCCCTTTAACTCTTGGCTTGGCGTCGCCCCTGGGACTGCGGCGGTGCAGGACCAGCGAGATGCCTCGGCACCGGCACTATTCCCGTCCCCATTACATCTCCACCCGTATCCAATCCACACCCATATCCTCGGCCCCAGCCTTATTCTCCACCTTATTCTTACCTTCATCCCTGTCCCTATCTCTGTTCTCGTCCCCATAGCAGTCCCCAACCGCATTCACGTCCCATTCTCAGCCCTGGTCCAAGGGTTGATGCTTTCAACGCTGTCCCTGCCGCCCTCCGCCCCATCCTTCACCCCGAACCGCTGATCCAGTCTCCTCTCCCCTCCACCCCCCCTGCTCCGACCGGGGGTTGAGGGGCAACAGATGTGCCCCACGCAAGCCTGACAGCAAAGACAGCAGGGGTGATGCTGGGGCACCCTCGCAGCAGCACTCACCCTGAAGGGGACGGCCGGTGAGCTCCGCGGGCCGGGCGCAGCCTCCGGGTCTCTCCTGCCTTCCCCTCTCAGCTGGCGGGCGAGACCCTGGGGGTTGCCACGGCCGGGTGTGTGGGTGTGTGGATGTGTGTGTGTGTGTGTGTGTGTACGGCCCGGACCCCCACCCCCCTGGGGGGCTGCCGCCGCCGCCCTGCCCCGCGGTGCCGCGCCGTCGGAGCGCTCGGCGTTTAAATGCCCCCGACGCGGCGCTGTATCAGCGACAGGAGCCGGGGAAGCCCCGCGGGCGCCGCAGCCATTGGCTGCCGCCCCCCACGTGCCTGCCCGCTGCCGGCGCCTTCGTGTCATTTTCCTGCCGGCCCCATGGAGGAAGTGGGAAAGTTGGTGCGGCCCCGCCGGACGCTGAAGACCCGGTGGCGGCGTGACAGAGGGAAGCGGCGAGGATGAGCTCCTTCCTAGAATACCCCGTTCTTGGCGGCGAGGCGGGAGGCTGCGCCGGACGCGCCTACCACCCCGATCACGGAATTACAACTTTCCAGCCCTGCGCCGTCAGCGCCGGCAGCTGCAGCGGAGAGGACCGTTTCCTGGCGGGCCGCGGGGTGCCCATCAGCCCCCACCGCCATCACCACCACTCCCCAGCCCAGCCTGCCGCCTACCAGCACCACGGCGGCCTGGGGGTGTCCTACGCTCACCCTGGCTGCGGCCCGACCTACGGCGCGCAGGGCTTCGGACCGGCGTACGGCCCCTACCCCCTGGGGCAGGACGCAGACCTGGGCGGCGGCTTCCCTCCTTGTGCCCCCGCCGTGTACTCCGGGAGCATCTCCTCCTCCGCCGCTGCGCAGCACCCGCATCAGGGCTACGCGGGGGGCCCCGCTCAGTACGTGCCTTCCCCTTACGGGCAGGAGCAGCAGAGTCTGCCCCTGGGCACCTACAACCATACCTTGTCTCCCCTCCACGCTGGCCACCGGGAAAACGCCCGCTCCCCCTCCGCCGAGACCTCGTCGCCGGCACAAACCTTCGACTGGATGAAAGTGAAAAGAAACCCACCCAAAACAGGTCAGTGGCCGGCGGGAGGGCTGGGACGGGGGCCACTCCTGTCTCTCTTTACCGCGGGTGCGGGGAAAGTGGTGCGGTGCCCCGCCGGGCGCTGGACAGGTAGGGCGGCCCACACCTCTGGGAGCAGTCGCGGCTGTCTGCCCGCGGCGCTGAAAGCCAGAGCCGCTTACGCCTCACTTATTCCTGACTCCCCCTTCTCCTCCTCTCCCACGGTCATATTGCTCGTAATTCATAAACCACTTATCAAGTTTCCTCTGACACTAGAGGCTGACTCCGGTTTAGCACCTCGCACTGCATCACTCACCCTGCCGGGGTTTCCCTCTTATCCAAAGAAGTTCTTGCTCCCTATCGCTTAGTCGGTGTGGACATATTGATTACGTCGCCTATAAATCATTTGTACTCACTTACTTACCGCTGCATATCCCCTCGCAGGCAAGGCTGGCGAGTACGGCTTCGTGGGGCAGCCCAACACCGTCAGAACTAACTTCACCACCAAGCAGCTCACCGAGCTGGAGAAGGAGTTTCATTTCAACAAGTACCTGACCAGGGCCAGGCGGGTGGAGATCGCCGCCTCCCTCCAGCTCAACGAGACGCAGGTGAAGATCTGGTTCCAGAACCGGCGAATGAAGCAGAAGAAACGGGAGAAAGAGGGGCTGCTGCCCATCTCTCCGGCCACCCCCACGGGCTGCGAGGAGAAGGCGGAGGAGTCATCGGAGAAGTCCTGCTCCTCGCCCTGCAGCGCCTCGCCCTCCTCCTCCGCCTCGGACACGCTCGCTGCCTCCAACTGAGACCGACCGCGCCCCGACGGCCGCCCGGCTCGCCGCCCCCGCCAGCGCGGCACGCGTCCCTTCACCGCCGGTCTGTCGGTCCCTCGGTCGGTCGGTCTCCCGAGAGGTCCCGGTGCGCTGCCGCTCCCACCCCCCCTACCTCCTCCGCCCCCGCCGCCGCCCGCCCCCGAGGGTGCCAGCTCCGCCGGGTGCTGGTGACTTGGTGCCAGGGGATTTTTTTTCCCGGCCCCCTCTCACTTTTCTGCCGGAGAAGCTGTGGTGGCACAGGTGTAAGGGTCTCCCTCCTCCACTGCAAGGACGTTTCTCCGAGTTTCCCTGAGTGAACGACAGGTTATTTAGGGTACATAACCTCACAAAGAGATGCACTATTGCAAGTGTTTACACGACTTATAGGACTTTCATCCCCTTAATTTAATGTATTCTTCGTTCGTGTCTATGAGTTTGTTGCTTGTAAATACTTTGTCCAAGAGATTTATCTTTTTACAGATTTTTCTAGAAATGATGTTTCGATTATCAGGTTAAGCAGGGTGAGTGCATTCGCCAAACTGGACCCACTTTTTTATTAGTAAAGCCGATGACCGTATCAAGTAAATGTCTTAAGCTCAAGCAGATACCTCAAAAAAAGTAGCGCTACTTCTTTAAATGTGACAAACAAGGCTTCAATTGCACTAGGTTTTGTAAACCTTACCCGGTGTGCTTGCTTCCTCTCCTTTTCCCCCTACCCCGAAAGCTGTGTTGGATTATGCTCAACCAAAAGGTTCAACCATCCAAAATACCTCACCTCTTCCTATTTTCATATTAACCTTCCTTTAGACTCGGTGTCTTTTCAACCTACTCGTGAATGTGATGAATGGCCAAATGAATGTATAATTTCTGTGGTTGGTGTCCAGACCATTGCATGACGCACCGTGCTTTGCTGTGCTGCGGGTATACTGAGTTCTATCAGTTGTCGTGTGTGAGCAAAATGTCCTCCTGATTTTTCTGTACAATCATGAGAAGCTCTGGGATTCCACAAATGATGGAGACCAGGGCAGGATTTACGGGTCCTTATAATGTCTGTAATAAATATATTCCACTTTCAGGTAGCCCTTGTCTGCCTACCTCTGTGTGACGTCAGTGCTGAGTCACAGTCTGGGCTCAACAGTTTTGTTTCCTTTATTTCCTTCTACTGGAGCCTTTCCAAGGGAAAAAGGCAAGAATCTCACAATCTTACTCCTCATGTGTTGTTTTGTCAGGGTCAGAGCTCTGGTTGCCCAGCCTGACTTCTTACACAAAGCTTCTTCCTTTCCTATGCTCAAATTTTATTTTTAGAGAATATGAGGCCTTTCTCTCCCTTCTCCGTAACTGGGAGGAATTTATGATCCCAATCTATTTCTGAAGCACAAACACAAGAACTTCCTGGGTCAAGTGCTAACCTTTTCACCTCGGGGTGGATGCTGACACTTAGATAAACAGAGCACCCTTCAAAAGCAGAAACTGTCTTCAGCCAGTCTTTCCTCACACTGCAGGCCCCTCTCCAAGGACTGCACATTTAATTAGCCTGGGCACTGAGCTGGTCTGGCTTCTCTCTCCCACCCCAGGCTGCCATCCCAGCGGCTGATGGGATGCCGAGATGGGATATGGCTGTAAGTGCTTGGCATAATATTTTTGTCGTGAACCTCAGCCTGTTGCCCCCTCGACCTCGACCCCCAACCCCCTTTTTTTTTTTTTTTTCTTTCTTTTTTTTTTTTTTTTTTTTGGAGTGGGGGGGGGGAGTGTAAAAGAGCAAGCTCTTGCACTTAAATATAGTAATTATTCCAAGAGGTGTCAAGTGGACAGCAGGTCGGGGATGGAGAGGAACCTGTGTGGGGAAAACCTGGGTGGCAGGACAGAGCAGAGAGATGCTCAGCTGGACGCGGAGTGTCTCAAGTCACTGATGTCACTGATGCCTCTTGAATTTCAACGCAAACACGAGTAACACCTCCTTCACTCGGCCCAGCTGCGAGAAGTGGTACCGGACTTCTGGGGCCGGGCTGCCCACGTAGGCTTTGCATTGCGAGATCCGCAAGAATCAACGAAATTTTCTTCACTTCAGTGTCAAAAGGGACAAGCCCTGGTTTGCAAGGCGCGGCGGCCATATCAAGAGCCGAGCTATCTGCAAGGGAACAGGGCTGTCTCCAAAGGCTCCCGCCGATGACTCCATTTCTTTCATTTCCCCGCCTGCCATATACTTTACCTTTTGTTTATTAGTGTAAAGGCACAAAGCAAAACAGATGGCCTTCTTCCAGAGACTTGGATGTGTTAAAGTGGCATTTGCATGCCAATGAGGGCATTTCAATATCGAAATCTGGATCTAAACATTGCTGGAATCCGGATCTACAACTAGGTTCCCCTGGTGCTGACTTAAAGTGTTAGAAAGAGTGGCCATAAATTATAGACTAAATGCGAGAGACAAGACACTTTTACGTGTGTCAATTTGCGGTGAGCGATTCCCGGGCAAAGAATCCCGTCTCCTTCCAAGACCAAACCCCGCTTATGCTCATATATATATGTATATGTATATATAAAATCCTTTTCCCGCAGTCACGATTGATTTCGAGCAAAGACACTCCAAACATCCTGATCCTGGTTTATTTTGCTAGCGCTATTATTATTTCGATACCATCAGCCTTTCTGGTCTGGGAGTGCGGGGAAGAGAAACGAAAATCTCTAGATTTAGAGTTTCTACCACAAAAATACCGCTAAAAAAAAAAAAATCACAGCGTATATTCGTGCTTTGACCTGACGAAGACACTAATTTGCCCTTCAGGTCTTAAGGATCCTTTTGTTTCTACTCGTTGTAAAATGTATTTTAATTTTTCTCTCAAGGATCTCAGGGAAAAAATAAAGAAAAACCCCAGCTTATGAGAACCCACCAACCCAAACCGCATCCAAATGTCAAACGGAGTTTAGCATCTTCCTATCATACTTAAGGCCATTTCTGCTGTTCACCTTTAAAGTTTACTTTTGGAGGCTATTGAGATGCTTTGGTGTTTTCCTCTGGGGCAATCAGATTGAAACCGATCAATATTTACTCAGTCTGAAAGGGCTGTTGAAAAGGCAGCTAACAACAAACTGCTTAGCTGCTCTCCCCTCTTTAATCTCAGGTTCACCGAAAGTTCAAGCAGAAATGAATTCGGTGGTGGGTCACTTTAGAATAAATCCCAGTAGTTAATCTCACAGCCTTGGTAAAGGCAACAATTACAGAGTCATCCCTCTCCCTCTCTCTCTCTCTCGCTGTCTCCCCGGCAGCGTCAACTTTCCTCTCATTTTTGCCCACCATTTTTTTACTAAATTTTATCCGCTTTCCGCTGTTTTGCAGAGACAGTGAAAATTCAGCATCTCCCTCCCGCCCGCACTGCAGCTGACACCGGCGTTCAGGCGGGTACCCCCGGAGAGGTACAAAGGTGCGGGAAACAACCCCTCCCGCAAGGGACCCGGCATTTTCAAACGGGGGTCCGGAGGTAGGGGTGCTTGAGACTTTCTACTCAGCAGTCCCGGTGGGTGGAAGAGGGTGGCTAGAGACGCACCCGGCTGCTGGAGGCGCTGGTGGAGCCGCGCTCCCCTCTCCATCCTTTGTGGGAAAAGAGTAGAAATCTGGGCAAAAGGCGACAGACATCGCCGTTAATTGCAGAGATTCTTCAAAGGTCAAAGTTCACATAATCACTGCATAAATGCATTCTTAATAGGGATTTATTAGTAATTCTCTAATGGTAGTTCACGTTTCGGCTACAGACTCAAGCGGGTTTTCACCGGCAAATAGCTTCTCAGGACAGGTGCCCCCTCCACTGAGGCATTGCCGGGAGACCCCGGGCACGAAAGGCGATGAGTTCCTGGCCAGGCCCCGGGGATGCTCCGAACCGGGCCGGCCGCCGGGGCCGCCCGCGGGAGAATCTGGGCGGCAGCGCCGCGCTGGAGAGGGAGCCCAGGGGAAGCCGCTCCCGTCCGCGGCTCGGCCGGGCCCTGGACCGGTGGGAAGAGGGGCTGTCATTTTTTTGAGGGGGAAAGAATAGTTTCGAAATGTTTTTTTTTCCGTTTAAGTTTAGGAGCAGGATCTCGTGTTTGTTTTTCCTTAGCAATTAGCTCCATAAGATCACAGTAAATTGGTAACCACAAAAAAGAATACATAAATAATTAAGTTAATATCTGAATAGATAGGCATATAATGTATTTTAAGTCTTCTTTCTTTCTTTCTTTCTTTCTTTCTTTCTTTCTTTCTTTCTTTCTTTCTTTCTTTCTTTCTTTCTTTCTTTCTTTCTTTCTTTCTTTCTTTCTTTCTTTCTTTCTTTCTTTCTTTCTTTCTTTCTTTCTTTCTTTCTTTCTTTCTTTCTTTCTTTCTTTCTTTCTTTCTTTCTTTCTTTCTTTCTTTCTTTCTTTCTTTCTTTCTTTCTTTCTTTCTTTCCTCTTTCCCTCTTTCCCTCTTTCCCTCTTTCTTTCCTTCCCTCTTTCTCTCTTTCTTTCTCTTTCCCTTTTCCATTTCTCCTTTTCCAAGACAAACATTCCTTTTCTCCCACAGGCACACTACTTGGTTGACTTTCACTGTTAACATTATTCTTTATGGTTTATGTGTCATAAAATATTACAGGTCACAGTTACTCCTGTTTCAAGCTCAGAAAACCCATTGAAATCGATGGGTGCTCTGGGGAAAAGAAGTCTTCTCTTATGTCTAGGAATTTGGGGACAAATTTCTTTGATTTTGATCGTGCAAGGAGTCCTCTTTACCATATAACTTCAAAAGGATTACACATTCCGTTATTGCCAACAGAAATGGGCCTGGAAAATGCATCTGTGACACTTTTTATAGGACATATTTTAAGCATTTGTTCCACAAGAAAGAATGTTTTAACTATTACTTTCACAGTTATTTTGGCTTTCCAATCTACTTTCCTTGAAAGTGTATATCTCACAAAGTTAAATCGGGACTATAGTTTCTTATAAAAATGCATTCAAATAATGATCAGACTCGACTATGATGAAACCAA